TTCACCCCCCCCACTCCCTCACCTCTGATAACTAACTAATAACTAATTACCAACCTGCTCTCCAAACCTGGAGACGTTCTTTACTCTGGATTACCTTAAGGTGACGTCTATCAACCTCACAACCCATCACAAGAAGTCCCTTTAATAACTAACCAGTACATTACTAATAATTAACCATCCTATTCCCACAATCACCTCTCACTAATGACAAAGTAAGAACCCACTAACTTCGTTCAGGATTTCCAGGCTCATATAACGAGACAGTTTTGGTTTTTTCCGCAGTATGAGATCTTGCTCTGCATCCAGGATGAGGACGATCCTGCTGTCGACGTCTGCAAGAAACTTTTGGGAAAATATCCCAACGTTGACGCTCGTTTATTCATCGGTGAGAAATGTTTGTTGCTGTGTTCTTGGTGAAATTCATTCTGACATGTTCTCGTAGTTACTCTACATCTAGTTATCTTTTATTTAGTGTCTTCAGTTAAAGCATCTGACGTTAGCATGTGGTGGTGTTTGGTTCTCAGGGGGCAAGAAAGTTGGAATCAACCCGAAGATCAACAACCTGATGCCTGGTTATGAAGGAGCCAAATACGGGCTGGTGTGGATCTGTGACAGCGGCATCAGAGGTCAGCGCCGACGCCCACCACATGTTAATTTCACCTTTAGCTGGTCTCATTGCTAGCTAATGCTAACTGTTTGTGCGTGTGTGTGTGTGTGGCAGTGAAACCTGACACCCTGACAGATCTGACCAATCAGATGACAGAGAAGGTGGGATTGGTCCACGGGTTGCCGTATGTTGCCGACCGGCAAGGCTTCGCCGCCACGCTGGAGCAGGTAAGGCTAGCACGCTAACAGTGTGCTCACTCAGCTGCTACTCACATGATCAAAACCAGATACAACATGCTAATGTTGTTTGACATGCTAAATGTAATGTGTTTACTCTCTCATTTAGCATTAGTTTTTGAAGCTGTTAATTATGTCTCACATGTTTTTTTAAGATCATTCATCGGCTCTTTGACACGTGATCATCTTCTAACACATGCTAAACGTGTTGCTAACCAGTAGCTTAGGTTAACCCATTTTTTTTGTTTTGGCTAATGTGATGACAGTAAATTGTTTCTGTGGCTGTATTAATGCTAACAGAGGCTAATGGTTCTCCAGGTGTATTTTGGGACGTCTCATCCTCGATCTTACATCTCAGCGAATGTGACGGGGATAAAGTGCGTAACAGGGATGTCGTGTCTAATGAGGAAGGACGTGTTGGATCAGGCCGGCGGTTTGGTCGCTTTCGCTCAGTACATCGCTGAAGATTACTTCATGGCTAAAGCCATCGCAGACAGGTTAACATGTTAGCATTAGCATCAGCATCTGGTAAACGTTTTTGTGTTTTAAGTTCAAGTATTGATTTCATGCCTTCGTTTCTGTAGAGGCTGGAAGTTCTCCATGGCAACGCAGGTGGCACTGCAGAATTCTGGGTCTTATTCTATTGGCCAGTTTCAGTCCCGTATGATCAGGTGACTTTACATCTCTGTTTGTGATTGGCTGTGGATATCATCCATACTACATCAATAGTTATTTTATTTTATAAAGGTGAAGTTTTGTTTTTTTTTCAAATCTGCAATAAATATAAATGATTTGTCTTGAATTGTGTTTTTGTCAGTTATTAATCATAATCATTTTTTATCTTGTTGTTTCTCAGATGGACTAAACTGAGGATCAACATGCTTCCTGGCACCGTGTTGGAGCCCGTCTCTGAGTGCTTCCTGGCCAGCCTCATTATTGGCTGGGCTGCTCATCACGTGTTCAGGTACGCAGCCAATCAGAGAGCAGCTTATGTTGACACTGTTTTTAGGTGGGAAATGTATAATTCTGTGGTTTTACTATTGTTGATGTTGTGTGTTTGTAACGTGTGTAGGTGGGACATGATGGCGTTCTTCATGTGTCACTGTTTGGCCTGGTTTATTAGTGACTACATTCAACTCACTGGAGTTCAGGTATTAACATGATGTGCTTTTAATTTGGAAGAATATTAGTTATTAACACGTTTCTAATAATCACCTGATCAAAACATGTAGATTAGTAAACATAATA